TGCTTACAGTGTAAAGCACACAGAGCCCACATAGTAAAACAGCACACAGTAAACACTTTGATCGCCCCACATGTTAACCCCTTCCTGCCCAGTGCCATTAGTACAGTGTTAGTGCTTTTTATTAGCACTGATCATTGTATTGGTGTCACTGGGAATGTCAGTGACACCAAGTCAGTTCCCCCGTGTCAGAATGCCCACCGTAGTCCCACTATAAGTCGCCGATCGCCGCCATTACTAGTAAAAAAAAAAACAGAAAACAAAAAAAATTCAAAAGAAAATTCCAGTATACTGTATATACTGCCATTTATAAACACTATAACTTTCACGTAAACCAATTAATTTACACGTATTGGGATTTTTTTCTAGCAAAGACATGTAGCAAATTACATTTTGGCCTAAATTTATGCTGAAATTTGATTTTTTACATTTTTTTTTGCACTGGACATGTTTAATACCAAAAAGTAAAAAAAAAATAATTTTTTTTTTTCAAATTGTTGGTCAGAGGCGATAAAATACCACCAAAAAAGAAAGCTCTATTTGTGGGGGGAAAAAGGTCATAAATTTAATTTGGGTGCAGCGTTGTATCGCAAAAAAATGGTCTGGTCAGGCCACCAAAAGAAAGCTAAATAAATTGATATACATTTAATTTATGTACAGTGTTGCATGACTGCAGAATTGCCAGTTAAAGTAGCACAGCACTGTAAAAATCGCAAAAAAATCGCCTACAAAACACGCGTTTACAAGCTGTGATGGTTAGCAGAACGCCATTTTTTTTGTTTTTCTGTTATTTTGAAAGTGTAAATGATGGAAATAAAATCTAACTTTTGTTGACATATTATAAGAAGATTTTTACATCTTTCCTTGGCTTCTTTATGCACATTAATACAAATTTTTAGCTGGGGGTGCCCAAACTTTCGATCCCCACTGTATATACTGCCATTTATAAACACTATAACTTTCACGGGGGGTAAATCCTCTGGAGGGCAAGTGGTTAATAATCAATATTCATCAGAAACAAATACATTCACCACATGTGCATCAATATAATATAAGGCACAAAGTTCTTCATGTATATATATATATAATACTTATAACTCATTGAAATACTGATAACATTAGCATAATTTTATGAAAATATATATTAGTCCCAAGTTCATAAAAATGTTTATGTAGCAAACAATCTGTGTAAGCAAAGATTTCAGTTCAGCCATTGCCATTTCCCAGTAGACACGCTTTCACTTTCAAAGATGGACCTCAATGGTCTACTAATAGCCTCAAGCCGGGAACAGCTCCCACAAGACATCAATCTCCTTCAACATCTTCCTTTTAGAAGTGTTCATGTAGTAAAAGATAAGAAACATTGCACAGTGCTATTTATTGTTTAAAAACACTTTATTAAAAAAAAATGTAAAACGCACACGTTTCCGTATCCTGCACCAGATTTGTTCTGCTCACACAGGATCACAGGTAAGCATCTCTACATATTGCCCGTTATGTGCGGGGGACTGGTTGCAGCACTGGAGAAAGCCTGCTGAAGCAAGGAGTAAGGTAAGTATTCACCTAGCTCTTCTGCTTTCTAGACCAGCCTTTCTCAACCAGGGTGCACAGGCACCCTGGGGTGCCTTAAGGTTTCTTCAGGGGTGCCTTGGCAAAATGTCTAAAATTGCCCAAAACTTGTATACAAGCCAGCGGGTGGAACAAGCCTGCCTTTTAGTTACACCACAGGTTTCATTGTATCCTGACAACCAATGACATCATCAGCTGATAAGGAGGATGTCAGTTGCCTGCACAGCATCCTAGTTTGCCCCTCTCCATCAGTACTGGGGTCATATTAGCTCAGTGATGGATAAAAACTGAGGGAGAAGAGAAACAATGGAATACTAGTCAGTAACAGTGTGCAAAGTGTATTTGAAAGAATAAACCACCTCTAATGTTGGGTGTCCTACATGTGTGGATGTTGCTGTGGATATATAAAACTATTAGAATAGTTTTTCACATTTTAGAATGGGGTAACCTTTTAAAATGATGGACAGTCTTGAGGCGCCCTATTTTAGAATGGGGTGCCTCAAGACTATCCATAATTTTAAAGGGTTAAAAGGTTTAAAAAGTTGAGAAACATTGTTCTAGACGAATCAAACAATTACCCTACCAGTGTGGGGTAACCCATTACAAGGGTGGACTTTCAGATTTTCCTGGAGTTGGGCTTGAAAACCAAACACCCCTATATTATGGGGTACAAGAGGCGGATTAGAATAGAAACATTTGGCAACAAATCTATATCATGTTTAGGCCATATACCTGCAATAGGAAAAATACTTAGAACCCCCAAATTTTGTATATTTTTTTTAAGCAGAAGCCTTAGAGAACAAATTGGTGGGTTTTGCCACTTTGTAATGTCACACGGTATTTCCGCAGCATTTTTTCAAAAGCAATTTTTTTGGGGAAAAGAAAAAAAAAAATAATATATATATATATATATATATATATATATATATATATATATGTATTGTATACAGTCATGGCCAAAAATATTGTCACCCCTGCATTTCTGTCAGATAATGCACCACTTCACCCAGAAAATTGTTGCAATTACAAATGTTTAGGAATTCTCATGTTTATTTCTTGTATTGGTATAACACAAAAAAGTGGAGAAACAAGTAGGGTCCTTGCACACTGCAGAGCAGACACAGAGCTGCTTGCTCTCCTCAATGGGCAATCGGATGAAAACAGACCGCCTGTTTGTTTCTATCTGACCCAAACCGACAGACAGAATGGGAATTGGATCCTGATCCGTCCCTCTTTTGGCAGATCAAATTGGATGTTGGCCTGTGAAAACAGACACATGTCCGTTTACACCCGCCGCACCATAGAGGAGAATGGAGGTTCCGATCGGGTCCATCTGAAAAACGGGCAGGCAGATCCGATCGGAACATCCTTGCGAAAGAGTCCAAAGCCAAATCTGCTCCTGTAATTTGTTGATAAACTCACCTGTATCAATTAACAGGTGCTGAACATGGTGAAAAATGACTCCACCTTTCTGTTGTGTGTCTCTGTGTGCCACATGGAGCATGGAGAATAAAAGAGCAGCCAAGAATTGTCTAAAGATTTGAGAACAAAAACTGTGGAAAAGCATGGACAATCTCAATGTTACAAGTCCATCTCCAGAGATGTTCCTGTGTCCACTGTGCGCAGCATTGTCAAGAAGTTTACATTATCTGCATTATCGGACTGAAATGTAGAATTACAATATTTTTGACCATGACTGTATATACAGGGGTTGGAAAAAATTATGGAAACACCAGGTAAAAGAACAAAATTGTTACCTAATATGTTGGACCACCTTTGGCATCCAAGATGGCCTGAATTCTCCAAAGAGTTCACAAATATAAGTCTTTGATTGTCTAATGGAATCTGATACGACTCTTCATGCAAAAATAGTTACAGTTCTCGCAGAGATGCTGGAGGCGAAAATAAGCCTGCACCTTGTTCTCCAAAATTGACCATAGTGGCTCTATGATATTGAGGTCTAGCAAATGTGGCCCCCAGGGAAGGTGCAATACTTCATCTACATGCTCGTCAAACCACAATTTGACAACACCAGCTGTGTGAATCAGAGAATTATCATCTTGGTAAATAGCGCTGTCTTCAGGAAACAATGTCTGCATCATAGGTTGCACATTGTCGGCCAAAATTTGTACATAGGCCTGCAGAATACCAAGATATGGCTGCCCAAACCATGATTGTGTCACCATCATGCTTTACCACTGGCAGACAGTCCTGGTCGTAAGCTTGGGACAGTGTCGCCACAAGTAATCATGTCCCAGTGTGAAGCTCCATTCATCAGACCATATTAGTTTTCCATTGACCAATAGTCCACAATTTATGGATGTTGCACCACTCTCTCTTGTGAGGCTTAATTATTTTTTTTTAAATAACAAACATGTCTATACTTACCTTCTGTGTGCGGTGTTTTTACACAGAGCAGCCCGGATCCCCCACTTCTCGGGTCCCCTGCTGGCTCTCCTGGCCCCTCCCTCTTGTTGGGTGCCCCCAAAGCAAGCAGCTTGCTATGGGGGGTGCAGAGCCGCTGCTCCGAGTGTCCGTTCACAAAATTGGAGCTGTGGCTTGGCCCCACCCCCTCTCTCTTCTCATTGGCTCACTGGCTGTGACTGACAGCAGAGGGAGCCAATGGCTTGAGGAGGCAGAGACATGGGATAGCCAAGATTCCAGTGCACATCACTGGATCGAGAGGGGACTCAGGTGAGTATTGGGTGGGCTGGGGGGGATGCTGCACACAGAAGGTTTTTTCCCCTTTATGCACAGAATGCATGAAGGTACAAAACCTTGAGCCTTTACTATCACTTTAATATCGGTCACTAGCGGTTTGACAATTGCAGCTGGCCTGTGAATGTTTTGCTTATGGAGTTCTGTCCAAATGGTTTTTGTGGACATGAGCTTTAGAGGACTGAGATTGAGCTCTGCAGTCAGTTTTGCAGCAGTAGTTTTTTCACAATCCTGCGCAAAGTCCTTTTTGTCTCTTTCTGTCAATTGACCGTGTGAACTGCGCTTATGCTTATCACATGACTTTTTCCCAGAAACTGCATATACCGACATATCATTTCATACTGTACCTCGCGACATGGCATATAAATTGGCAACTTCAGTCACAGAGGCACCAGCTACATGGGTACCAACAATTTGCCCTCTTTGATGCTCAGTAAGCTCTCATACGACGCTGTATTACTAGCAGCGCATGCAGTGAATGACGAAAGTGAGGCTTCCCACCTGTTATGTTAGCTAGGTGTCTCATAACACAGCGGAAGCAAAAGAATGTTACATCACTTCCGCTTTCAACACAAAACATCTCACCACCTTCACAACTGCTATATATATACTGTATATATACACTATATTGCCAAAACTATTGGGACACCCCTCCAAATCATTGGATTCAGGTGTTCCAATCACCTCCATGGCCACCGGTGTATAAAATCAAGCACCTAGGCATGCAGACTGCTTCTACAAACATTTGTGAAAGAATGGGTTGCTCTCAGGAGCTCAGTGAATTCATGCGTGGTACTGTGATAGGTTGCCACCTGTGCAATAAGTCCATCCGTGACATTTCCTTGCTACTAAATATTCCACGGTCAACTGTTAGTGGTATTGTAACAAAGTGGAAGCAAATGGGAACAACAGCAACTCAGCCACTAAGTGGTAGGCCATGCAAAATGACAGAGCAGGGTCAGCACAGAAGGCACCATAGCTAAAGACCTCCAACCTTCACGTGGCCTTTAGATTAGCACAACAACAGTGCGTAGAGAGCTTCATAGAAAGGGTTTCCATGGCTGCTGCATCCAAGCCTTAAACCAAGTACAATGCAAAGCATCAGATGCAGTGGTGTAAAGCACACCGCAACTGGACTCTAGAGCAATGGAGATGTGTTCTCTGGAGTGACGCTTCTCTATCTGGCAATCTGATGTACGTGTCTGGGTTTGGTGGTTGCCAGGAGAAGGTACTTCCCTGACTGCATTGTGCCAAGCGTAAAATTTGGTTGCGGGGGATTATGGTGTGGGGTTGTTTTTCAGGTGTTGGGCTTGGCTCCTTAGTTCCAGTGAAGGGAACTCTTATCAAGCATGCCAAGACATTTTGGACAATTTCATGCTTCCAACTTTGTGGGAACAGTTTGGGAATGGCCCCTTCCTGCTCCAACATGACTTCGCACCATTGCACACAGCAAGGTCCATAAAGACATGGATGAGTGAGTTTGGGGTGGAGGAACTTGACTGGCCTGCACAGAGTCCTGACCTTAGCCTGATAGAACACCTTTGGGATGAATTAGAGTGGAGACTGCGAGCCAGGCCTTCTCGTCCGAGATCAGTGCCTGACCTCACAAATGTGCTTCTGGAAGAACGGTCAAACATTCCCATAGACACCCTCCTAAACCTTGTGGACAGCCTTCCCAGAAGAGTTGAAGCTGTTATAGCTGCAAAGGGCGGGGCCAACTCAATATTGAACCCTACGGACTAAGACTGGGATGCCACTAAAGTTCATTTGTGTGTAAAGGAGGGCAATATAGTGTGTGTGTATATATATATATATATATATATATATATATATATATATATATATACATACACACACTTGTCACTTGTGTATTGAGGTGATGAAAGGGATCTACATGGAGGATTGTTAAGTGCTATACACAAATCCACAATAGCTGCTTGCATTGTGCATAGATGGCAGGTGCACTTTAGTCACCCTGAGTAGCTCTGAGAAGTTCAGTAGGCAAGCCAAAGCCACCTGCTTGTGTACCCAAACACAGAGCAGTTCTTGGACCACTGCCCTGCTGGTCTGCCAACTCTTCCATCTGTCTGTTATTCTCAGACACCAGCCTGTGAGCCTTAGTACAAGCTGCAGAATTAGCATCCTTAATGTCTGCAGCCTGTTGCTCTAGAGGGAGCTTGTCTACTGCCAGCAACAGGTAGAAGTGAATTTTCTCAGCATACTGGCAGAATATAGCCCGAACCATTCTGCAGAGCTAATGTTTTATGCGCCAGCAACTGAAAGCGTAAAAGGGAGCTTTTATGTATGTTCAGTGAATACTCATTTTTAATTGTTAATATAATATTACATTTTAATTTAGTATTCTTTTCACACTTCCACCTGCTCATCATATTGTTTGTGTGATCTGAATAGAGCAGGTAAAGGATGGAACCTCGTGTTTATTCACGGTTTGTGACCCTATAGAGGGTTTCTGCTTCTTCAATTAGTACCTCTCACATCTTAACTAGGGTTGTCCTAAATTATGTTTTCATTTCTCTGAAAGTACATGACAATCTGGAGATTCCAATGAAATGTTGACATATTAGTGACACGCATTGGAGGAAATGAGAGACACAATTAAGATGGTCTTTCATAGCTTATAAGGGTGAGATTGGCTTTAAATGTCCCCAGAAACTGGGATAAAATCTAGAGATTCCGGTGAAATTTTCCCATTTTAGCAACATGCTTTGGAATAAATGACAAGCAAAATTAAGGTGGTTTTTGGTGTTTCCCGCAAGGAACTTTTAATTCATTTTTAATATTCAAAGTAAACTCACCCATCCATCCGTGTCTCTATGCTTAATTTTGCTGAGAAATCACCCCCTAGCATTTCTGGCTGTGGCCACCTTGAGTAAGGGCAGATGATTTACGTAGCAGTTACCTCCTGGAATCCACCTGCCCTTACCTCAGGCATGCAGGTAGGAGGGTGTGCTTAGCTGAGAAAACCCCTCCTCCCCTCCTGAAGACTCCTGGGATATATGACATCATTTGCCTAGGCATGGTGAAAAAAGAGAGCGAGTGCACTCAGCACAGGCGTGTATTAGGAAGTTTTCCAAATGAAAGAAAGGATTGCAAATGTGATGCCACTGGTCAGGGAACAGGTACCCAGGAGGAACAGTGGATAGAGTGATAGTACTGATCCCCACTGTGAAAAGCAAGTTACTTGACAGGTGGCAAGGAGCATTTAAAATTGCAGCTAAAGTGAGGGAGAGGAATTACAGGGTTTATTAACTAGGCAAGAGGAGGCACTATCAGGTCTACCACACATATTTGTTGAAGTCCTGGAAACACAAGACACAGGTAAATGTCCTGGTGAGTTATTTTTGGAGAGTAAGGATATTGTTTAGTGTCACTTTAACCTCTTCCCATCTGGCCCATTACTGATAAATGGCCGTACGGGAGCACTGCCGATGCAGGTAGATGTTTCTAAATGTCCCCTCACATCCAGTGCCTGTGTGCACTCCCTGGGAGCGTGCAGCACCGCAATCAGTGCTCACTGTGTCCTCCAGACACAGAGGAACACAGATCGCTGTATGGGACCTCTTTGTGAGGTCCCAATCATGTAGTAAGCAAGATGTCACTTCCTGACATCATTGCTTACTACTTGTGAAATTTGTGAATGATCACAGAGGTCACATGGTACAAAGCTATTCACAACAGCCTTGTATTATGTGACAAGCTGTGACCAATCACAACTCGCACAGTATTTCTCAATGGCTGCAAGAATGTAGCCAGAGAGGAGAAATGATTGCTTTTACAGCTTTTCTGGATGTAAAAGCAATCAGTGTTAAAAAAAAATCTTCATCACCCCCACAAGTAGTACAGTGTCACTATGGTGACATTGTACTGCTACGGTGACAGTATGTAAAAAAACAAACAAACCCGTAAATAATAATATAAAAAAATAAAAATGTAAAAAAAAATTTGAAAAATTATAATTTTTGGTTATAAACTTATTTGTTTTTTTTTTTTCGTTTGTTTTTTTTTTTTACTAAAAAGATACATAAATACACTTTGGCCAAGATTTATGAAGAAAGATTATTTATTTGCAAATTTTTATAAGAAAAACACAATTTTTTCTACATTTTTGGTTTTTTTTCATTTACCGGTATATAGCAAAAAAAGAAAAACCCCAGTGGTGAATAAATACCACCAAAATAAAGTTTTATCTGTCTCAAAAAATGCTAAAAAATTTCATATGGGTACAGTGTTGCATGACCGCGCAATTGTCATTCAAATTGTGATAGACTAAAATGGGGTGAAAGTGTCCGGACTTGATATGGTTAAATCATAAGTTCACCTTTTGAACAAAAATAATAAATGCACATTTTTTTGCACGTAAAAAATGTGCATTTATCATTTTTGTCTACAGGAGGCTGGAAAGCATTGCACCAGCGATTAGTCAATCATTGATGCCATGCAGGTCTCCTGCAGACCTGTCAGAATGTCTGCTTGCCATACGGGATGTACGGTCAAACAGATACACTGACAGGAAGCTTCAATGAACTATCACAATGCTCCACAGTGCTGTTCATTGAAAACTACAAACCGCTAAGCAGGGGCGGACTGACAACTCATGGGGCCCCCGGGCAATAGGGGAGCATGGGGCCCCTGTGTCCTTGCTCAAACTCAAAAAAGTCTATGAAAAAGGTACCAGGGGCATCTCATGGGACCCCTACTGACCCCGGGCCCTCGGGCAGTGCCCGAGTTTCCAAATGGTCAGTCTGCCCCTGCCGCTAAGGCTGTTGGCACTTGCAGTTCATTCATTCATGGAAGTCCCACAAGGCTGTGCTGTTTTCAAATCTGATAAATGGTACGGGGAAACTTCTCCCCCACATATCTGTCAGAGGTAAGGGGGGGAGGCGGCGGATGGTGGCTGCGACTATGGGAACATGTTACATGTTCCACCCTAAAAACGGGTGGAACGTGTAACATGTTCCCAAGGGTGAACTTATCCTTTAAGTGCTGCTCTTTATACTTTACTGAGTAAGCCCATAATATTAAATCTGAGGAAAGCCAAATAGGTCTGGGCCTAGAGGAACAAAAATGAACATCATGCTGAGACTTATAGTTCCCCAGCCGTTGGAGAGCAGCAGGTACCTAAGACACCTGGTAGGCAAAGAAAATAAATATCTGTTCTTGGAAGCTTTTACTGATTTCCACTTAAATGACCTACATTTTTCATTCTGTCAATGACACATTTTGTTTTCTAGCACAACAAACAAATCTGAATTCACGATACTATTCCAAGAGAACTTGTCACTGAATATGTAACAGTCCCAAGATACTTTACAGTTTATAACGGAACATGGCAATGAGAATTCCACCACTTCTCTGGCTATTTCTAGTTGGGTGAGCTGGATTACTAGCCTGAGAAAGAGATTCTCTAAGGCAGTCATGTGCTACTGTGCATGGATACCAAGGAAGCAGTTTCCTTGGTAATGGTAACCATGTGAGGATCTTAGAATTGTCTCCCCGGCTATTTATATTGTTTAGGAGAGGATTTATGAAACTATTTAGGTTTTCTATCATCTCTTATTGAATAATTCCAGTTAAATAGCTGAAATTATTACACAATATGCGAGCCATAGAAATGTTTTTTTCCTGGGGATTCAACAATGGACACCCAGAAGAGAATAACTGGGAGGCGGTGAAATGTGGTGAAACATTCAAACTTGCACTAACAGTGGGGGAGGCCTAAAAACTGGAGCCTACTCACCGTATATACGATTACATATGATGCAGTCTTTGTACACCAAGAATATCCTATAGCAGCCTTTCTCAACCAGGGTGCCCAGAGGTTTCTTCAGGGGTGCCTTGGCAAAATGTCTAAAAATTGCCCAAAAAAATGTATACAAGCCAGTGGGTGAAACAAGCCTGCCTTTTAGGTACACAAAGCCACAGGTTCTCCTTGTGTAGCATTATGAACTTCTAGCCGCCGGCGTCCTGACAACCAATGACATCATCAGTTCATAAGGAGAATGTCAGCTGCCTGCACAGCATCCATCAGTGCTGGGGTCACATTAGCTCAGTGATGGAGAAAAACTGAGGAAGAAAAACATTGGAATACTACTCAGTACCAGTACCAAGAATAAATGACCTCTAATGTTAGGTTTTAGGTGTCCTACATGTGTGGATGTTGCTGCGTTATATAAAACTTTTAGAATGGGGTGCCTCAAGACTGTCCATAATTTTTAAGGGTGCCTTCACTGAAAAAAGG